CCACCGCTTCCCCCCGGCCGCTCCAGGCGCGCGAGGCACGCGGGCGCTGCGGAGCAGGACGGGAGGGAGCTGCAGGACAGGAGGGAGCTGCAGGACGGGAGGGAGCTGCAGGACAGGAGGGAGCTGCAGGACGGGAGGGAGCTGCCCTCCTCCTCGCTGCCCGCGCGGCCGCTCCGCTCTCCGCTCCGCGCTCACCCACGGCGCTCTGTACGGGAGTGCAGCCAGGGCTCTGCTCAGTGCCTCGGGGTGCCCTGGCTGGAGGGATGTCTGCGGATGAGGTGTACGTCCTGCGGCCCTTCAAGCTCATCGCGCTCTGCTGCATCTTCATTGCCTTGGCGCTGGACGTGGTGGCCCTGCTGAGCCCTGCCTGGGTCACCTCGGACTACTACTCGCTGTCCTTATGGGAAGTGTGCAAGCAGCCCAGCGACATGTGGCACTGCCTGTCCACCCTCAAGACAGGTGAGAGATGGGGACACGCTGCTCAGGGGATGGAACCGTCAGCGGGGACAGCCAGGCTGGGTCTCCTGCTTCCAGTGCTCCTGGTGCACTTAGACACCTCAAAATTTGCACCCAGGTTGATTTTGGCCCTCTCCCCCAGGCTCTGCTGGAAGGGCAGCCAGTGTGGAGTTCAACAGGTTGTGAGAGGGGAGTGTGGGGCAGGAGATGTGCCAGACCTTTGCAACGGGAGCAGAGCAGACCAGGCAGAGAACGGGCTGGGCTCAGGCATTGCCCCTGGCAGGGCTGTGCTGGGCCACCCCACGGGTGCTGAGCGGGGCCATGCCCTCTATGGGGGGTTCTCAGGATTTGGTCAATGTGCTACTTGGGTCCCTTTTTTAGCTGCCCCGCTAGTGGGCACATCCCGAGAAGCCCTGTCCCCTCACCTAGGCTTGCTCCCCTGCGCTGCTGTCCCTCCTTCTGGCCCACGGATGAGCACAGAGTGATGCACTTCACGATGTGGCTGTTGCTGCTTCTCTCCTACAAGCGAAGGGCATCGCTCCTGGCTCACCCACGACACAGCTGTACCCAGCCTGGTCCAGGCTTCTCCTGGGCTGTGGAAGCCTCCTCCTTGGGGCAGCTACATGGTGCTCTGCAGCTCAGCTCTCCAGGCTGCTGTTCCATGTCCTGGAGAAAGAGGAGACTCAGCCTCTTCTTTGGAAAAAGGATTTTGCAGCTCCGTGGGTAAGCAGGGCTAGGAGAGGGTAGGCCAATGGTTGCACAGTTTGGGGTTGCTTCCAGGCTTGGCCTCAAGCTTAGCTAACAAGCCTGGTGATTTGGCACCTGCACTTGGCAGGAGGCAACATGCGCTTCCCATTAGGCATCGCGGAGAGGAGTGAGCTCACGTAGGAGCTTCCTGCTCATTTATGGTGAGTGGGAGGACGGAGCAGAGAGAGCCCAAGTTGAGGCCAGCCCAGCAGGCCAAATGGCTCGGGCCAGATTTGCTGCTGGGCTGCAGGGAGTCGTTATCGCAGGGTGCCTTCAAAGGCCACTCTCCTTGGAAAAACAAGGGATGCGGATGGGCAGCCAGCAGCTGCCTTGCCTCTCCCACCTGCCGCTGCCTCTGTTTGCCCAATACCATGTTTCATGGCATAGCAAATTTTCATTAAGGGCCAACACACCTGCACCTGCTGGGCTTGGTAGAGGTTTAAAGTTGACCTGGAGAGACCCTCCTTATACGAAGAGTGGGAGCAGAGACCTGGAATGTGAAGCCTGGGTCAGTGTGTCTTGCTGTCCTGTGCTCTGCTAGCCGTGTGTGTCCTGCAGGACAAACTTGAGCCTCTGCACCAGAAATCACTTGGACCACATGGAGACCTGGTCCTCCCAGACAGATTCTCATGCTGAGAAGTGATGCTGTGAGATGGAAATGGATCAGGTGAAGAGACGGGGGGAAATTCCACCTTCTCCGGGGGTTTCCCCACATCTGCCCTTATAGCTGTGTGCCACAAGCCACAGCTGTTTCACTGAGTAGGCATTGCTGGAAGGGGAAGGAGAAACTCATCCCTGAGTCCCTGCCTATGCCCTTCCCTCCTCAGCACCAAAACGCCACAGAAAATGAGTCCAAGAGAAGTGTTTGTTCCCCAGGTTTCCCCTCACTTCCATCCCCACAGGGGCCTGGTCTCCTGCCAAAGCGGTCACTGGATCCAGGTGGCCGACAGCACGAACAGGCAGCTTCAGGACGTGGTCAACATGCCCATGTTGCCCTTTTCAGGGCTCACAGTCAAAGCAGAGCCATTGAGGGGCTTGCTTGTCACACGTGTGGCCATGGCAGGACATTTAGGGGAAGCTATGAGGAGACAAGTCCGTGCTCATGTCTCACCCTCCCAGCCAGGGGTTGGAACAGGCTAAAACTGCATCTCTGAGGGCTTTTTGTAGAGCTGAGGGAATGTGACCTTGGTCTCTGAGGCAGGGAGCAACGGCAGAGCTGCGTGCGGGGCGGCAGGGCCTGCACACGCCGTTTGCTTCTACTTATTTTCTGTGCCATCTTTTGTTGGTAACAACTCAAGCAGGGAAACGGGGCCGCATCCCTTGTTCTTCATGGGCTGGGGTTTGTGCAGCAGATGGGGACTCGCTGCTGGTGCTGACCTTTCCCTGCGCTGCTCGCCCGTGTGATTTACACTCCAACCGCCTCTCCATCCCCCTCCAGTTAAAGCAGGGCTGTGGAGCAACTGCTGGGAACAGAAGCGCAGAGGGGCTGATTTCAGCCTCTTTCCTGCCACAGCCACGTTTGGAGAGCCTCTTCAGGGGCTGCTTGCTGATGTTCAGTCTGCTGGAGCTGCATGGGCTGCCTGGATGCTCTGGTGAAACCATCTGGCCACTGCACAGGGCTCTCTCACAGGAAGGCTCTTCGCTGTAGGCAAACTCTGGGCAGGAGACTCAGCTGTGACCCCTGAAATCCTGGTGGAGCTCCCGAAGCTGCTCAATTGCCTCCTAGCTGTGCCGTGAGCTGGCCCTGCATCCATAGGTACAGTCTCTTAAAGGAGGGTTGCCTGGGGCTGTTCCCTCCATAAAGGCAGCCGATTTTGATATGAAAACCAGGGAGAAAGGTGTATCCAGCACTGCTCCTGGTGGCTTCTTCCAACAGTCCACCCCCTTGGCTCTCAGAAAATGCAGCTCTTTGTGGCCGGCATCAGCCCTGACAGCTGGGTCCAGATATTCTTTTCCCAGAGGGATTTCAGAGCTCGCTGCCCCCAGCTTGCCTTCCCTCCCTATGAAGGTAATTAGCTATTGGATGGGAAGCAAAACTTTTTCTGGGGCTGGCAGATGTCCTGCTTCCAGCGGGAAGCCCTTCCTAGCACTGCTGCACCTGGATGTGTCTAGGCAGACTCGGTGTCCTGGCCGCAGGGCTGATCCTAAGGGGATCCTCAGGTCTTTAAATGTCTTGAGCTGGATCTGCCACATCTTCTCCTTTTCCTTCCAGAAAGGAATATAAGGAGTCCTACCCTGTCACTCACCGGTCCCTTTCCATCACTTTCTGGGCTGCTGTGCCATCTGTTTTGTGCCAGTGTGGGACTGAGGCTTCTGGGGAAATCACCACACTGTTAACTGCTGATTAATAGGAGTCCTGGGCAAATCCTTTGTTGCGGTGACAAAAGCAGAGTGAAAAGCCCTGCTGTTTCCAGATGCTTCGTTCATTTGCAGGTTGTTGGGCTTTTCCCTCCTCCCTGCACAAACTGCAGGTTGTCCAGGGCTCTGTTCCCAGCGCAGGGTTTCTCCTCCATGCACTGCCCCTTGGGCTGTTGCCAGCCTAAATCATGTTCATTTGGAGCCAGTTTACGTGCACTCCGATGCTATCTCACATGCTGCTGACATGAGTTTGGACCCTAATATGGAAAATATCAATGACTTGGTTTGTTTTCCCTTCTTGCTGCCTATTTGCTTGGGATGGGGATTCTCCTTTACCAGAGATGGCCAGAACCCTACCCAAGAAAGAGAAAAGAGTGGTGGGAAGTTGCTTTAAGAAGCTGGACATGAACGAGCTTCCTGCTGGGCTGAGACAAAAGGCTCTTTTACCCACACAAATTGCCATTCCTCCAGCATTTAGAACCAAGTTATTAGTGTTAAACCAGTTCAACACATTTTTGTTCAGGTAAGATACTGCCCTAGCCTAAACCTCTAAATCTTGTGTATTTGTTTAGTTTGGTCATAGGAACACAGAGAAACTCTCTTACACTCTCCCTAGGAGGACAGAAATCCCTTTGCTTTGCCTCTGTTTCAGCCCCCTCGGCTGAACCCCTAGGGATAGGGAGGACAAGGACATGCTCCCAAGAGATCCCGATACTTTCTCAGATGTTTGAAGTGTTCAGCCCCTGCGCTGGTGTCACCTTTGCCAGCCCACCCCTCTAGGTGCAAACATGTCCCAAAGCTTCCCCCTTCCCTTGGGGATACCAAAGGGTAGCACCTCCCTCCACCACCTCCCTGCCCGCAATGGGCCGTTTGGCTGCTGAGCCACCTGAAATAACAGCATGAAGCAAATCATCCCCAAAACTTGCCTCAGAATCTTTGGGTGCTATTTTTTTTTTCTCCAAGAAAACTGGATTTTATTTGTGTAGTTTTTTTCGGGGGTATGTGAAAGAAACTGTGAGCCTACTTGTTTATGATTCACTTGAAAAAATATCTGAATTTCGTTGTTTTATGGCAAGAAATTATTTCTGCCTTTTTTAAGCTAGGCTGTGTTCATTCTGAAGTTTCTATAAAAAATCAGTGTATAGAATGAGCTATGTAAGTCTGGTCCTATCAGATTCTAGATTACCTCTGGAAATCCCAGTACAAGGTATAGAGTGTTTTTTTCTTTTTTTCTTTCTTCTATTTGTGTTTTGTTTTCAGTTTACCTGACTTTTAGACAATTTCCCAATATTCTGAACCAAAAGCTCCAATGCTTTAGTTCTCTGAAGACGATTATTTCTGCTGTGACCTTTCCAAGGATGTGAGAACCACTCTCAGTTTCCCAAGCTCTCAGGTTTTCTGGTTCAAATCCCCACAAGCCCTCAACCAGAAGTTGGTTTTCCTTCCGCAAAATCCCTCTCTCTGGAGAGCCTCACTTCAGAAATGAGAGCAGGTTTTGCTCCGGCACATGGGACATTTCGGGGGATGACGAGTTCTAGCAATAGCTGGCTTGGCTATTCCATCACAGGAAAATCCAGGCAAGGGATGCATCTGGAATAGTGTGAAGGCCTGAATCGAAGTTTTGTCTTAAACCAAAGGTTTTCCTGCAAATTGTCTCTTTTCTACTCCAGACTGGCAAGTGGCTACACTGGTGTTAATTCTGGCAGCAGCTACGATCGCGCTCCTGTCCTTCCTCATCTCTCTGATCTCGTTCTGCTTGGAGATCTACTGGCAGTACTACAGAGTGGTCGCTGTTCTGCTTTTTGCTGCAGGTACCTCTGAAATCCTGAAATAGAAATAAATACTTTTTAATAACTTTTGCCTTGTGGTAGTAGTAGAACAACTGAGGGGCAAAAAGGATGAGATGTAAATCTACTTCATCCCTTGATTTTGGTTTTATGCAGCTGCAAATTCACAGAGGATTCTGGAATGATGACAAAACTGCAGTGTGGGACTGTCCCAGCCCTTTCACCACTGCTGTTGTACTGAGTGTAGCAGCCCTCTCTGTGCTTAGACGGAAGAGGATAAAGGGAAGTGGAGTGAAGGTTGCCAGCCTTCCATGCCTCAAGTATCCATATTTTTTTGGAATCCCTTGTAAAGGGGAAGAATTGCAAAATGAAACATCCTTCTGGTCTCTCTGAAAGTGTAACACATTTTTTTTTGCTTCTTTCCTGTTTATTTTTTATTATTATTTTTCCTTTGTCCCAGTGGTGCTGCAGATCTGTGCCCTGATTCTCTATCCCATCAAGTTTGTCGACAGTAGCATGCTGAGGAGTTACCACGAATTCAACTGGGGCTATGGCCTGGGCTGGGGATCTGCCATCTTCATGCTGGGCGCCGCCATCCTCTACTGCCTACGCACAGACACTTACGAGGGTGCCTTGTACTAGGCGGGGGCAGCTGGCCACATCACATCCCTGGACTGGCATTATAGCAGCCTGGAAATCGGTAACGTGCAACTGGGTTATCTGTGCACACGAGCTGAGAATGAAGGTCCCGGGGAAGCCTGGGTGAAGGTTGAGAGCTACTGGGTCTCATTTTGGTGGCTACAGACTCTGTTGTGATGCTGAGAAGAATAAATGCCTTACCCTGCCTGTGTATTTTCTTTTAGAGATCTTTAAAGCATGAGGTCACTTTGTCACTAGCAGTTGGGAAGAGAGGTCGGGGTAAAAAGGTCTGGGATATATATAAGCAGGAATTGCAAATTTAGCTCCTTGGGCTAAGCATATGCAGCAGATGAGACAAGTGTTTGCTGCAAACTGCTCAAGCCAGAAATACTTTGAGCCTTCCAGGCCCAGATTATTTTCAATCTTTGTTGGCCAAAGGAATCCACAATAGAGAAATCTGGAGTCCAGCTCATGGGGACCCAACAGTGCTGCTAACACCAATGGGAGCAATGAAACTACTCTAACACTGGGAGAAGTGTCTCTGCAGGAGCTGTCTTGCCAAAACCCATGAGCGGAGGGAGCAGAATTTGGTGGGGGAAGAGTGCCTGGACTGGATGCAGACTTCATCTCACTCAGCTAAAGCTCTGTCTGAAGCTTTTTATAACTTGCACCTCCAGTCAGCTGCAAACTGGTCTTGTTGAGGAGGTACTTGCTGGTTCTCAGACTGTACTTCTGTGTTCCTACAGACCCTCACTGCTCTGCGGCCCTGCGCCTTCTGAGCAGACAAAAGTTCCTGTGAAATCCTTTCTGCTTAAATGCAGCCTTCCTGTGTATGGAGGTATGGGAACAAGGTTTATGGAGCAATTTCCAAACCCTATTCTTTTCCAAAACCCTGTGCACTTACAACACAGGTACTCAATAGCAGCATGAAACTGCAATGCTAGCAGAGAATTTTCCAGTCAAGCTCTTGAGAAATCAGTAACTATAAATCAGTCCATGGCAGCACAGGAGAAGGGTCCTGGGAAGCTCGTCATTTGACCTGCATTAGGCTCTCCCCGATTTGGACTCCACATGTTTTAATGCAATCGCTTTTTTTCTGAGCTTTCTGTTTGAACGCTGACGGTCTGAAACAAATCTTGCAGTTGCAGCTGCCTTAGCAGGTTTCTAGTGCAGAGGACGCAAACCAACAGCCCCATCGTGTGGTTATGGGACACTGCTGAAGGCTATCAGTGTGCTCTGGAGAGCACAAGTGACATTTCCTGGGAAAATCCACCGTTTCCATAATGCTAATAACCATAGACTGTGCAAATACGTTGGGCAGAATAGTCTGGCTTCTGTGACTGCTAGAGAAGACAAGGAATGGAAACGCAGAAGATAGAATCACTCAGTGCTTGCTCTAGTCAAAAGCAGCTTCAGAGGAGCCTCCTGTAAATTTCTCAATCTGTTCCTATTATTAAAATTGTAGATCATGAAATTACTCCTTGCCTCTACCCACTCATAGTGGAGGTATTTGGTAAGGATTTGCAGCCTCACACTCCCTTCTCAGGCACTGCATGGAGTGACATGTAGCAATTTCTGAACATTGGGAGTCTGCAGGAAATTCAATGTTGAGGTCTTGTGTTTAAACTTAAACCTTTAAGCAACCCTTCTCTCTACCCCCTCCTCACCATTATTCTATACAAACAGTTTAGTTTTGAAGCCTTTTTTAAAGATAAGCTTTAAAATTACTTGTTTTGCAAGGGAAAATGTTGTGCAGTCAAGGCATTCCACCCTCCTAAATTTTTATTTTCTCTGCACTGATGAAAAAATCCAGAAGAGCCTGATGAATTCGGTGAAGGTAACCAGAACAGGAAATCTTCAATCAGAGTGTATCTCCTTGCTATCCACCAGCCCTAGCTCTGAGGCTCAGCACATTTCATGGTTTCCTGCTTAATTAGTGTTTACAACATATATAAGTAGAGGCAGAAGAATCACTCCGATTTCTATATATTCTTGGCTAATCTTTTATTTATTTATTTGTTTATGAGCCCTAGGCACTGATGAAATGACTGGGGATAATGCCCAGCATAAGTTCAAGATGTACAAACTGTGTTTTTCTTCTAACTAGATCACATTCCTTATCATAAGGTGGCGGAGCAGGTTGGATGCGTGAATTTCTTTGCGTATTCTCAACCCTTGCTCCTGGCTGCTTTTTAAATTATTTATTTATTTATTTAATCCAGAAATACCTGACTTCTTAGCATTATTGCTTGTTTGCTTCTGCTAAATGAAGTACAATCTTAACAACTTTAATCTTCAGCTTACTGATACTTCAGCTCCAGAGCACCTGCTACCCCAGGGCTTCTACTTTTCATGGAAATAAAGCTCAGCTGAGCTTTATTTCAGTGTTGCTGTGAGCTGGGCTAGCTGCTCTCTTGGCATGACTTGCAGACAGCTTACCTGCTTGACCTAATGGGAAATGGCAGGAGCTGCCACGTGGGACATTGCCGCTATACAGCGTGATTAGCGGGGACACAAAGGGCTCAGGTCATAACTACGTCAGCTAATCTGTTATGGATTTCAAAGTGCTGCTCTTGAAAGCTGTAAAAGATTAAGGGAGAGCACAGAGCTGAGCTGCACAGAGAGGGTCTCTGCTCAAGCTCCTGGGCTGCAGAGGGAAGCAGAGACCCAGGACAAGACCGATTTTGCCTACACATGTGTCTGTTGGCATCTGTGAAGGACCTGTCAGGCGACAACTGGCAGATCTGTCTCACAGGGTGAGAAATAATTCTGGCCAGATCAGCAACATGCAATGTTTAGGAGGCAGGGATGATTTTGCGTGGACTCCTTTGCTGCCTTAGCTTTGGAAAGCAGCAGTGGGAGCACGGGCTTGCATGAAGTACCCGTAAAGCCCTGGACTCAGCAATCTGGAGGTGCACCTGCCAGCAGCACCAGAAGGTTGCACGGGTTGAGGTGTGACAAGTCCTGACTTACAGACCATTCTGCAGATCTGCTGTGATGACAGAGGGCACACAGATGGGGGAGAGGTCAGGGTGTTCCAGCCGTGCTGCTGCACGCGAAGGGCGCGTGGGTGCTCGGATGCCGCAGGGGAGCGTGCCGAGGTGCACGCAGATCTAGATAAGGGCACCTGGATGGTGTTTCAGCAGCACCGTGGAGATGGGGATAGGAGCCATCCATCTCCCTTTGCGCCTTTACCCCAAACCAGAGTGTGCCATCAAGAGCTGCCATCGGAGAGGAAAAAGTGGGGAAAGCACTTGTTTCAAAAGGCACCTTTTCTTTCCTTTTCCTTTTTTTTTTTCCATTTCCTTTTCTTTTTTTTTCCCCCAGCATCACCAATTCTTGTAGGTTTGGCTAATCCAGCTCAGTCTCCAGCTCTGGCAGCCAAGAGTCTTAAAAAATTTCTCAGAGCATGTTTAGAAATAAATGGATTAATTGCTGTTTTGTTGAGGGAAGAGCTCATTACTTAAAACTCGCGGGGCTGACAGAATCAGGCAGTGAATTTAAGCTCATCGGCTTCTGAATGGTGGGACGGTTTGCCTGAGGGGAAGGGGGGACCATGACAGTTTACATGTGGGCAGGGCCCACCATGATGGTCTACATCGAGGGGAGGGAGCCCCCATGGCAGTTTCCATGATGAGAGGGGGCTGCCATGATGGTCTGCATGAGGGGAAGGGGCTGTCATGACAGTTTACATGAGGGGAAGGTGTTGCCCTAATGGCCTACATGGGGCAGGGGGCTGCCATCACAATTTACCTGAGGGGTTGGGGGTGTCATGACGGTTTACATAAGGGGAAGGGGCTAACATGACAGTTT